GCAGATGTTTATGTATTTTGGTTGTGTATTTGCAGATGTTTATGTATTTTAGTTGTGTATTTGCAGGTATTTATATTATTTCTGTTGTGTATTTGTCGGTGTTTATGTATTTTGGTTGTGTATTTGCAGGTATTTTTATTATTTCTGTTGTGTATTTGCAGGTGTTCATGTATTTTGGTTGTGTATTTGCAAGTTTTTTAGATTTTTGCGAGTAGCTCTGGGTCTCATCTGTTTCTAAATGTGAGGAAAATACTTTTTTACCGGTTATATGAATAAATACTTTGGATTCAAGGGTACTTGTATTTGAGCAGACTGGACATGGACACCTCATGTAATACAGATGTGTTATTAATACCACTAGTACAACTCCTACTATGACAAGCGTGCACACGTGTTGTGTTAATAATTGAAACCAGAGGAAGTAGACTGGTACATTTCACAGTTTTCATGTTTTATTTGGAGGCTGCAGCTGATCCCTCTTTGTCTCTTATTCATGATGTTCAGAAGTTTCATCCCCTCCGGAGAAGCTGCGCCCCCCCCCCCACGAGAACCCAAACCTGTTGTTTTAAATTCTGAAAATTAAACCCGTTTAGCTTCTCTCTCCTGTCACACGTGTTTCCATTTGTTTACCTGGATGATCGCTTTGTTTCAGACTCAACACAACTTTAATGATTATTATAAAAAACTGAACTCCACTCTGTGCCTCACCTGTAGTTGCTGCTTTTGACCACGCGATGGCGACCGCGCCTAATTTCAACCACAGGCAGGTGCAGCTCCGTGTGTGTGTGTGTCACCTTCACTGCCTCCCCCTGATGCTGGGAAACAAGAGTGTCACTGCACAGTTCCTACCACGCAGGAGCTGAGAGGAGACGACACGCAAGTAAGAATCTGCGCATTTCACAAAATGAAGCCGATGTTTGTGTGTAAATAAGCGTGAAAGTCGGTTTTTGCCTCGTGGCCCTGAGAGTTCAACACACTGCCGCTTCACGAAACAAGTGAAAATAACCACAACACTCAGGAAAACTAAGAAAACTACTTCCTGGATTCGACAGCACGTGTTCGGACTACACACACAATCACACACCTGCAAGTACACAACCAAAATACACAAGTACACAACACAACCACCCAGAGAGAGGTGGTAACAGGTACTCACACATGCAAGTGACGAACTTGTCTGTCACTTTGGTTTCAGCTCAGTTCATTGATTTAATCTCAGGTGAGTTCATCACTGTCCTGTGTCCTGTGGAGACACGTTTGTCTCCTGTGGTGCTTCTGTGGGAAAACTTAAAGTAAAACTAAGAAAAAATCGAACAAAGTTTTAAAGGTGTAGAAACCAGGTAAAGGCCCGAACATCCAGAAACAACTTTACTTCTTAAAGATCTTTTAATAGCTTGGGTCTACTCCTCTACTTTCACCAGATTGGTTAATGACGTTGGATTCATATTTTATTTTGGCTCAACTTGTAGTTTTAATTTTTTCAATGTCCCCCAGAGGCAGCAGAAGCTTTTTGGCTCCACAGCTTCCTGTCTGGATGCACTTCCTGTGTTTGGTCATGTGCTGAAATCCAGCGTCACTTGATTTTTATTTAACGTTTGTATTCGTTGTGAGTTGTGAGGCAGCAGGTCTCAAAGAGATATTCATGGAAACTTGTCATATAGTGAATTGTCACAGACTTAATGTTCTTTGTGTTATTATGATTCTTAATTTGCTCATTAAGAGAATTCGTCTTTAAACATCCTATTGGTTGTTTTATTCAAATAACATTTTTAACAGTTGGTTTTAAAATAAATAAAATAAGTCTTGTTAATATTCATCTCGGGGTTCGGCACTCGGAATGACGTTACACCCGAAAAAATGCGAATACTAACTCAGTGACACGTCCAGAGACAGTAACTGGACAGTACAATGTGTACAACAAATGTAATGACGTGTACTGTTGATACACGGAGCAGCCATCTTGGACATGGAAGTCAGGGGTGGTGAGACTAGAAACTAGAATGTTACTCAGTAGAGTTCAAGATTTAATCAAGATGCACCAAACGGCACACACTCATAAATATGAGTCCTCGACAGACGCCGGATTTCTGTTTTCAAGATTCAGGAGAGTTCGCTGAAAATTTCTGTTTGTCCACATCTTCGCCGAAATTAGATTTATTCTGTCTCTCGTCTCATCCTTCAACCAACTTCAGTGAAAATCTGTTCGGTAGTTTTTGTGTAATTCTGACAAACAAAACAAGTCGGATTCTAGTTTAAGTCCTTCACTGTTTGATATCGAGCTCATTTGTTTCTGAAGTCTTATCACATTTCTTCCATTTATTTTCTGTGTCAAGTAATTAACGTACAGAAAACCTTGGGCAAGGTATTTGTGTTTGTTCCATCGTAGGAGCACTGGAGGCTGCGACCGGCAATTATCCTCATCACCAGTTCATTGTTCAGAGAATAAAATGTAAATGCACTTTATTATTCTCTGATGGGTTTTTTTTTTTTTTTGGGTCTGACCAGTGATCAACAACACGAAGACGCTAAACCTGCTTCTATAGAGAAACGAAGCTGCTGCTGTTTGTTTGTAGTCGAATTACTGTTTGGATCATTTAATTTTTCTGCTCAGGGGCCCAACAACTATCTTTTCTGCCCTGAACCCCTTCTAGAGGTTGATCCGGCCTTGGCGTGACACACACACACACACACACACACACACACAGCCTGAAGCACTTCTCAGGGATTATTAAAATATCTTTTCAACAGGCAAGCACAAAATGTGGACTCAAGCTAAAGATAGGTTATAGATATTGGGAAACGTGCGCGCCCACACACGCACGCAAGCTTGCAGGCGCGTGCCCGGTCTTCCCACCCCCTTCTCTCTCTCCCTCTCCTCTCTCTCTCTCTCTCTCTCTCTCACACACACACTCATTCGTGCTTCAGCCTCACACCTCAACAGCAGCGTGCAAGGAATCACGCTCGCACATGCACACACATGCACTCACTCACTCACACGCACGCGCGCGCGCACACACACACATACACACATTTCTGCATCCTGTGTTTTTTTCCCCCCATGCACCGGGAACCGGGCGCTTTGAGGAGCGGTGGTGGATTATGATGATGATGATGATGATGATGATGATGAAGCCAGATTCTATAACAGCGGAATATTGGCCTCTCCTGCGGCTCCGACTCCACTGAACCGCGTGTGTTTTTTTTTTTATTTTAAATTTTTTTATTCATTTCAGATGTTTTCCTAATTTGCTTCTCCGTTACTTCTGAGCGCCGAGAGACCGCCGAGACGCACAGCCCACGTTCAATGCCGTTGGAACATGTCCTATGTTCCCTTTCAAGGTAAGACACCAGATATAATTATATTTCTGTCATCCACTGCATCTCTCTTCTTCTG